AAACAAACCGGAGGATGAACGAGAAACTGACCCGGAACTGACTCACAAAATATCCAAACGAAACATTCGAGCTGATAATTCACCAATATTRAACACCACAAAACARWCGCTTAAAGAACAAATCACAAAAACCATTCATCAAGAGGTTGGTAAAGCAGTGTCAAAGCTACAATCTGCGAGATACTGGATTCCTATTCCAGGCCCTCCCGGTCCACAAGGAGAGAAAGGACAGAAAGGTGATGTAGGGACAAAAGGACCACGTGGACCAAGAGGAAAGCTTGGGAGAAGAGGAAAACGAGGACCACATGGYTTGAAAGGTGATCCGGGAGAAAATGGAGCTGCCGGTCCACAAGGCATGCCGGGACCGAAGGGGGATCCTGGTCCTTCCCTAGCACCACCATCAGTAAACATTTCGCCCTCACATTTGGTTATCAATGAAAGTCAAACGGCCACTTTGCATTGTTCTGCTATCAGTTACCCACGACCTGCTGTAGTTTGGAGTAAAGAAAACGGTTCGTTGCCRAAAGGAAGATCTTCTGTTGACAGCAAAGGAAAACTTGAACTGAAGCAAGTCGTTTCATCTGATACAGGAACATATGTATGCAAAGCTTTTAACATTCTTGGTAGCAAACACAGCAAATCGACAATTGAAGTGAACTCTCGACCAAGAGTAACCTTGATCAGTGGACCAGTATATGAAAAGATAGGTACGGACATTGTTATGCCAAAATGTCACGTGACAGGACATCCTAAACCAAAGATCACGTGGTCAAAGTCTACTGGTTCGTGGAATATCAGCCGAAGCGTCATTACAGATGGACAGATGACRCTCTTTAGAGCAAACAAAGAAGATTCTGGGACATATTTGTGTAAAGCTGAAAATCTTCTTGGCTCAGTTACAAAAGGAACAATTCTTATTGTTGTTGAGCTGCCAAGATTCACTATAAAACCTCCTACATCACTTGTCACCTTTCCTGGAAAAAGTTTTCGTCTCAATTGTAAAGCTACAGGAGAGCCTAAACCAGTCATAACATGGAGAAGAGAAAATGGCGTTCTTCCTATTGGCAGGCATGAAGTAAGAGATGGTTCGTTGATCCTCAAAGATTCCAAAACAACAGATTCGGGTGTGTATATTTGTACTGCAACAAGTGCTGGTGTTTTCCACAAAGAATCAAGATCCACTATCAAGGTTCAATTTAGAGATTGTTCGGAAATCTTCAAATCAGGAGAGAGACGTAATGGCGAATACACAGTGAATCCTGACAACCAACGTAGCTTTCAAGTGTACTGTGACATGACAACGGACGGTGGGGGGTGGACTGTGTTTCAGAGAAGACATGAATCGGTCGATTTTCATCGCAATTGGCAACGATACAAAACAGGTTTTGGAAACCTGAATGGCGCGTTTTGGTTGGGTAACGATTACATCCATCGACTGACAGCAAGAACAGCATCAAGTCTTCGCGTGGAAATCGGGGACTGGGACGGATCTCGGAAGTATGCCAAATATGGTAGTTTTAGTGTAGGTGATGAGTCAGACAAGTACAGGTTGAGTGTTGGCGGGTATTCGGGTACAGCTGGAGACTCAATGACATATCACAACAACTGGGCTTTTACCACCAAAGATAGAGATAACGATGGTCGTTCAGGCGGTAATTGTGCAGTTGATCGTACCGGTGCGTGGTGGTATTATAACTGTGCATACTCTAATCTTAATGGAAAGTATTTAGGAAACGTACTTAAGATGGGTGGCTTAGAGTGGTTCCATTTCAAAGGTAGCTGGCAGTCCTTTAAAACAAGTGAAATGAAGCTTCGACCACAAAACCATAAATAAGTAGATTCTTTTTATGGAATGATCATCACGTGTGATACTCTAACTTCACGCAAAGTTTTCTTAGTACGCCATCTGAAAATTTGGGTTGTGCTGTGCTCTTGTCACCTCACAACTAAGCACCAACGCCAAGCTCATCTACTGGTGATGAGTTTCAATGTATAGTAAACAGGTTGGGTAATTGGCCGGGAAGAAAGCAAGTTACTTTTCATTTTTTTCATGTAACTTGATGAAACAGTCAAAATAATTTAT